TAGCTATGATCATCACACATCTCTTCTGTCCTAGACCGCGAATTAGACAATCTTTTAATTCACGACTGTGTCCATGTCTTTTAAACGTGCCACAAACTGCTATTGTCTGTGCGTAACACGCAAAATAATAACTAGTAGAATGCTGTGCATTAGAGGCTGAGTGTGAGTGTGTTTCTAAATTTATGAGAGCTTAAATTTGCCTTCTTATTGTGAATAAAACCTATTCGAAATACTTTGTCTTCATTCACGATCAATAAAAGGGTGCATTGATAGATGTCAATTAAAAATTACTACTAAACAAAACACATAATTCAATAAATCTGATTGAACAATTAATAAAAGGGTGCATTCATAGATGCACATTAAAATTAATACTCAACGACCACCGTACATCAAGGTGGACTTAGTCTCGTGAAAAAAGATCTGAAAACGCGTGTTTTTGACAGAGAAGCTTTAACCAATTGCAATAGTGATGTGCATTAAAGGCTGACTGTGTCTCCTGATTTATATGAACTGAAATAAATTTAAATATTCAAAACTGTATGGAATCGATTCGATTCGACGGCTGCGCCCGACTGCATATATATTTAATCAGCAATGATATCTTTGTTAGGGATTTTGTCAACATAGCACGAGACCGGGAAAATATAGTGGTGGCTGGAATAGATGGGATCAAATTGGATTGGACCCCTTAGCAAAGCATGTCATTTACCAAAGATTTTTTTTTTCATTGTGACATTATAGCAAAATTATAGTGGGCTCATGTCCATGACCACATCTTGTCATTGACCTCACTTTCAATGTAATTTCGACATCCATTGTCAGAAGCATTTTAAATACTTTGGAATAACTCAGTAAAAGGTCAAGACGGAAAATCAAAAATGATACAGTAGATGTAAAAAAAAATGAAGCAAACCTAAACTAACAAAACCTAACTCAATACAGAAAATCAGAAACGACACAGTAAACGTAAAAGAAAAATGGAGCAAACCCAAACTAACAAAACCTAACTTAATACAGAAAATCAGAAACGATACAGTAAACGTAAAAGGAAAATGGAGCAAACCTAAACTAACAAAACCTAACTCAATACAGAAAATCAGAAACGATACTGTAAATATATCATAAAAATTAGGCAAACCGAACTCAATACAGAAACTTTGGGAACGGTAATGTTGAAACAAAAAATTATTTGACAGATGACATGCTTTGCTGACCAACTATATAAATCTGAAACTCTACACAACTGACTTCATAGATATCAATTAAAAGAACTAGTCAATAAGAACTGTAAATCACTAAATCTGATTGAAGGATTTCAATTTGACTTCTGATTGTGAATAAAACCTATTCTAGTTCCTTATACTTTATCTTTATTCAACAGTCCGTAAAAGGGTGACTTCATAGAAGTCAATTAAAGGTACTACTCCATGACAACCGTAAATCAGTAAATTTGATTGTATAGGATTTGATGCTATGGGATAAAAGGGTGAATTCGCTGGATGCCAATTAAGATTCATAATGCACGATGCAGAAAATTTAATGGATTCTAATCAAAAATAAGCAACTGTAAATCAAGTCTGACATATATCGTAAGTTCTTGTTCTTGAAGATCCTTCCCTAAAATAAGGCTATTGAAATTGCTTATAATTTTGGTTTCTTCATAAAAGGGTGAATTCATTGATGCAAATTAAAATTCAGAATGAAACACAAACTTTAATTGGATAACTCAATGCTAGATGTCATTGATCAACATAATCAAAAAACAAAACCTATAACATAATGACAAACCACATTGTATGTCAACTGTCAGCTTGTCACTGCATAAAAGGGAAATTTATACCAAATGAATTGAACTCTGTCACGAATTTGAATCTTATATCTGGTTAAAACCCTTAAAACCTCGATCAACTAAAACGTGACCAAACTCAAAATGAAATGTCACTATTCAATCTATCACAATGGCATCTTGCAAATTATTGTTATTTAGATTAACAACTGAAAAGGTTCAAAATCAAACGCTACATGAATGTCTGCTACTACCTAACAAACTGACAGTTTGTATTTAAACAGTCTCCTACCAAACCTTACATGATCACTTGTAGGTAGGTTGCTTAGTGACGTCGTAACTTGTACATTATTCTTACTTCTTATTCTTATTTTCAACGTTAATTAAATCTTCACTTTATCTAATTTCCCTTTAAACTGCTAAAATACTTTTGAAATGCTAGCAGACGCCGGTACCCGACCCCGCAGAACGAAATGTACCAACATATCAAAATGGAAATTTTATTTGGAAAATCTAAATATTTTAAATCTCCCCAAAACTGAACCAATCGCCTTAAAAGGGCTCTATATTTGACTAAACCTTTAGATGAAGTGTAAGCGTTTGTTAGGCAAACTCAGACGAATAAAACTGCATTTGTTTCAACACATTTTTTTGTATTCACTGTTAGGTTGGCACCAACCTATAGCGGCGACTTTTCCGATCAATATGTTGGCTTCGTTAGATAGTATAGTATAGTATAGTACTATATTGTATAGTTTCGTATAGTTTAGTTTGCACTCAGCCAATTACGCATAGGAAAAGAAATACGTATAAAACAAGACGCCAACCCCAACCATCGCCATTCCGTTTTGTTCCGCTGACGACAAACTGCTGACGACGACCGCCTATACAGTTTACGGCCGGGGTCGTTCGTTGGCGCCTCCGTTCGACGATTTCCCCCCAACTTTTCGTCTCCCCCTTTCTCTCAGTGTACGACGCGACCCCCGCCTCCTAGGCGCACAGGGCCGGGGGATGCGCGGCAGCCCCGGCGGCAGCTGCGCCCGCACGGCGCACGCACCAGTCCATCCTGCCCCGGCCATATTTACGAACATTTCTCCACTTTCAGCAGGATTTTCACTCCAGGAGTCGGACCAAGTCAGCATATTTGTGCATCAGCCCATCCAACGCCAGCGGGTCGGGATTCAGGGAGCGAGTGAGAGAGAGAGCCAGGTGAAGTCAGCAGAAGGGTTATAACGGAAAAGAGGTACAAAAAAGATACGTCAAAAGTATTAATTTCGTGGAACTTTAATTATGAACC